GTGCGACATCTCTGAGGTCTGTTCTCTTTATTCCTCTTTCCACATCTGTATCCAGGTCTTTTATCCAAATTTTCATGGCTCTGGACACCGTAAGACAAACAGCTGGATGGCATCCAGTTCCACCCACCGAATATATATTGGAAAGATCAGAATCCAATTTCTTATCCATTGGTTCCCGCAAGGAGGCTGAACTATCCAGTGGTAGACTAGTTCTCCTAGCTACCCTAGAGATGGTAGCATCAACGTTTGGAGGTGTCGTCCATTTCTTGGAAGTTTTCTCCTCCAAAGGGTAAAGCCTGGATAGCCTGCCCTGAAACTGAACCTTTTTACCAGCTTCTTCCCATTCTGCGGTAACCACCTCCTTAATGGCACTGTGAAGAGGGAAGGAAGGCTTCTGCTTCCTAAGATCCGCAAAATTTTATCAGAAATTTCAGGTTTAGGAAGTTCTTCCGGTAATTCAAGGGTCTTTCTTACCTCCAGGATAAGCTTGGCGTCTAGATATTCCAACAAGACCTCTTCCTTGTTCTCATGGGTGTCCGCAGGGGGGGCACTTGCCCCCCCCTGGATTTTTCAGCTTGTTCTGCTATTTTTCGTGTGAGATTTAGAATGAACTGCAATACCGGCGCCGGCCAGTAAGTGGCGCTGTGTATGGAGAGAGACAGGGATAGGAAGCTGCATCTTATCCCTGCTTCTGTCTGCTGATTGAAACCGCAGGGGAGAAACACATGCAGCCAGAGACAGCCTACAGATCAGGTAAGTGGGGGCAGAGACAGCCTACAGATCAGGTAAGTGGGGGATGGGGTAGGGGGTTTGAGATAGCCTATAGATTTTTTTTGGGGGCAGCAGCCTATAGATTAGGGAGTGAGGCAGCAGCCTATAGATTAGGGAGTGAGGCCTGGGGGCAGCAGCCTATAGATTTGCAGCAGCCTATAGATTTGGGGGCAGCAGCCTATAGATTTAATGAGGGGCAGCAGCCTATGGGTGGGGGAGGGCAGCAGCCTATAGATTGGGGGCAGCAGCAGCCTGTAGATTTGGGGGTGACAGCAGTCTATAGATTTGGGGGCAGCAGCCTATAGATTAGGGGAGTGAGGGATGGGGAGGGTTTGAGATAGCCTATAGATTTGGGGGCAGCAGCCTATAGATTTGGGGGGGGTGACAGCCCTATAGATTTGGGGGTGACAGCAGTCTATAGATTTGGGGGTGACAACAGCCTATAGATTTGGGGGTGACGGCAGCTAGATTTGGGGGTGACAGCAGTGATAGATTTGGGGGTGACAGCAGTCTATGAGATTTGGGGGTGGGTGACAGCAGTCTATAGATTTGGGGGCAGCAGCCTATAGATTAGGGGAGTGAGGGATGGGGAGGGTTTGAGATAGCCTATAGATTTGGGGGTAGCAGCCTATAGATTTGGGGGCAGCCTATAGATGATAGATTTATAGACTGCTGTCACCCCAAATCTATAGGCTGTATCACCCCAAATCTATGGCTGCTTCCCCAAAGTAGGCTGCTGCCCCAAATCTATGAGCTGCTGCCCCCAAATCTATAGGCTATCTCAAGCCCTCCCATCCTCACTCCCCTAATCTATGAACTGCTGTCACAAATCTATGACTGCTGCCAATCTAACCCAAATCTATGACTAATCTATAGCTGCTGCCCTCCCAATCTATAGGCTGCTGCTGCCCCCCCCCAAATCTATAGCCCCCCACCTACCTGATCTGTAGGCTGTTTTAAGGTTATTTTTTTAGATTTATTGATCTATATAGATAATCAACAAATGAAAAGTAAAACATATTTTAAAACAGTAGATGTAAATAGTTTTATAGATTGCACAAGTTGCCATTTTAAACCAGGGCTTGAAAATATTCCAAAAGGACAAATGTTGAGATTAAAACGTAACTGCACAGAAAAGGAAGAATACGAACAACAAGTAGCATACTTACAAAAGCAATTTAAAGAAAAAGGATATAAAGAAGATGTTTTAAAACAAGTTTCTAAAGAGGTTGAGCAAGTTGATAGGAAACAACTTTTGAAATATAAAGATAAGAGTGCTTTACAAGTAGAGGAAGATAAAGCTCCATTGATTTTTAATTATTGCACAAATAATCTAGATTTAAGGAAAATTATAAATAGGAATTGCACATCTTAAAAACTGATGATAAAATATCAAATCTTGTTGACGAAAAGCCAAAAGTTATTTTTAGAGGTGCTAAGAATTTAAAACAAATTTTAACGAAAAGTTTTTTAGATGTTGAGAAAAATACTAATTTTTTAAAACAACCTAATGGCTTCTTTTATTGTGGAGTGTGTAGGGGGTGTAAATTGAGGAAGGATCAACATAAAAAGATTTTTAAGTTTACTTCAAATACCACAAAAAAGGAATATAATATTAGGTCCTTTTTCTCCTGTAATAGTAAAGATGTTATATATATGCTTATCTGTCCCTGTGGTTTACAATATATAGGGAGAACTTCACGGTGTTTAAAAATTAGGATTAGAGAACATATTTATAACATCAGTCGAAGATATGAAAACCACAGTGTATCAAAACATGTTTTAGATTACCATAATGCAGATCCAAAAGGTCTAGAATTTTTGGGAAAAGAGCAAATTAAAATACACTGGAGTGGAGGTGATAAAGAACGCCTCCTCAATAGAAATGAAATGAAATTGATTTTTGATATAGATACATTAAATCCACAAGGACTTAATGTGGATTTTGAGATCACCCCATATATATAACTGATACAATTTATATTAATCAATTAATTAATTAATTAATTGATTCTTTAAGAGATATATATTTTTTAAATGAGTGTATTTTTTAACCTCATTTATATATTGTTCTCATTTACTTCCTTTATTCTAAATTTATATATATATATATATATATATATATATAAACTTTTTAAATAAGATTTTTAAATACATCACATATATATATTTTTATATATATTTTATATCGTTTTTATATTATTTATATATTCTATATATTTTATGTATATTTTTATAAATATTTTTCTTTTCCACATATAGCTTGATCTCCCTAGTAAAAATGTTGTCTCACTCTCTAATAAACTGTACTTATGTATATATAAAAATGATTAATCTATATATATTTTTTCTCTCTCCCCTTTATGTAAAAATAATAAAAATGTATGTTCTTAATGTTTAATACTGTTCGAAAAGAAATGGTGAATATTTTTTTCCCCTGTTTTATATGTGAAATGCTTAATGTTTTTAAGAATATGTCGAAATGAATTTAAGAGACTTCTTTGCCAATAAACTGCCGAAAAGGGACATTTTTAGTATTGGCAGTTTTCAGCTTGCCAAAACCGGAAGGACGCCAAGATGTGGAGACCGGAAGTGACATCACTGGAAGTTGCGTCATGACGCAGAGACCGGAAGTTGCGTCATGACGCGAACCGGAAGTGAAAGGTTAAGATGCAGGATGCTACCCAGATCCAGATGAACACAAAAATAAAAGCGCAAAAGCTAAAAAAAGGCGCCAAAAAATGGCGCCAAACCGGATATTTAAAGACTGAAGTGAAATAAGGAAAATAGACTTTTGATAAAGGCTCAAGCCGAAACGTGTTAAGTCTTATTTTATTAAGTAGACTTTTACTATATTGTACCCAGCGTTTTGTTTTTACCCCTAATTTATAGTGTGTCCAATAAAGTTTTATTTTATTCCTTGCATCCTGCAATATTTTAAGTTACTAATAAACCACGAAGGGGGAACAGCCTGGTGTGTGAAGTACCACGTACAGATATTTTCTACGCTTTTAGTCTGAGCCAGCTTATTTTAAGTGGCTCATGACCATGTGAGTGAAACCTTATTTGTTTTTTTAATGTTCTAAGGTTTTTACGTTATTACCCTATGCATGTTTTTTCCTGTTTTTATATTTTATATGCAGGAGTGAATCAAGCACGGAGTATATCTTACATTCAAGGGTAATTTAAAGTGTTATTCTATGTAGTGTGCCCTCACCTATATTTTATTGTATACTATCAATATACCTACTGCACCTGTCAACAGAAATTCCACCTCAGTATCTGGAATTAAAAGAGGTATTCAATAAAGTACAGTCAGAGACTTTACCACCTCATCGGTCTTATGACTGTTCTATTGACCTTTTGCCCGGAACATACCTCCTAAAGGACGAGTATATGCACTATCTCCTCAAGAAACTATCTGTTTAGAGGAATACATAAAAGTCTCTATGAGGAAATGGCACTGAGATCCTCCTCTCCTGCTGGGGCTGGGTTTTTCTTTGTCTCTAAAAAAGAGGGAGACTTACACCCCTGCATTGATTAGAGGTCTCAATAAAATAACTATCAAGAACGCTTACCCCATTCCACTTATTTCTGAACTATTTGACAGGCTCAAAAGGTGCCAGACTGCTCACCAAACTCGAACTTAGGAGTGGCTATAATTTAGTCAGAATTAAGGATGGACATGAGTGGAAGACAGCGTTCAATACCAGAATGGGACATTATGAGTATCTGGTTATTCCGTTTGGTTTGTGCAATGCTCCAGCGATATTTCAAGACCTGATCAAAGATGTCCTAAGAGAATACCTCCACACATTCGTGTTGGTGTACCTGGATGACATTCTCATCTATTCTACAGACGTTCGTACCCATCACGAACATGTGAAAACCGTGCTTAAAACCCTGCAAAAAAATGGCCTATACTGTAAGTTAGAAAAAGTACCAGCTTGATCAAACCAAAGTACAGTTCCTCAGATATGTAATATTTCCCTCTAGTTTTAAGATGGACCCATGCAACCTGGATGCAGTATTACAGTGGCCATTACCCAAGGGTCTTAAATCCGTACAACGCTTTTTTGGATTTGCTAATTATTATCACAGGTTCATCAAAGGATCTGAGCATCTGAAATTGTTCCTATAAGCAACCTTACCCGAAAAGGAGCTAACAGTAATTCATGGAAAAAGAAAACAACAGAGGCATTTGAAAAACTGAAATCTTTATTTGTCTCAGAACCCATTTTAGCACATCCAGATCCCGCCAAACAGTTTATTTTAGAGGTCGATGCATCCGAGACAGGTGTAGGAGCCATCCTGTCTCAATGAGAAATCTCTGATAAGCCTCTGCATTCCTCTGGGTTTTTCTCCAAAAAGTTATCTCCTGTGGAGAGAAACTATGACATCGGAAACAGGGAATTATTGGCCATTATTCTAGCTTTTAAAGAATGGAGACATCTCTTAGAAGGTACCAAAGAGCAACTTTTGATTTTCACGGATCATAAGAATCTGGCTTACATTGGGGACGCTAAGAGATTGTCTTCCAGACAGGCTAGATGGTCACTTTTCCTTTCACGTTTTAATTTTATTACTTACAGACCAGGCACCAATAATAATAAGGCCGATGCTCTGGCTAGACAATATGATACTTATGAGTTTCCAGACCAAAAGACATTATACCCTCGTACTATACCCCCTGAGTGTCTTATAGCTACGACAGTTTCGGATTTGTCTTTTCCGCTACTGTGTGCCATAATAGCAGATCAAACTCAGGCACCAGCAGAGAAGCCATCTAAAAAACTGTTTGTCTCACCATCACAGAGATCTGAGATACTCAGGTTATACCATGATACCATGACAGCTGGACATCCTGGTATACACAAAACCCTCTCTGCCATTACTAGAAAGTTTTGGTGGCTGTCACGTAGAGGTGATGTCAAGGATTATGTGGGAGCATGTAGAATTTGTGCTGTGTCCAAGGTTCCCCACAAATCACCTCCTGGGTTGTTACAGCCACTTCCAATACCAGACACTCTGTGGACCCACCTGGCCATGGATTTCATTGTTGATCTCCCAAGTTCTAATGGGTATAACACTATCCTTATGGTAGTGGACCATTTCTCCAAGATGGCACATTTTATACCTCTCAAAAAACTGTCATCATCCTAGGATTGTGTTCAAATATTCTTATGTGAAATCCTTAGGCTACATGGGATACCGAAAAACATAGTCTCTGACAGAGGTACCCAATTTATTTCCAGACTTTGGCATGCTTTCTTCAAACAGTTGGGCATAGAACTTTATTTTTCCTCTTCGTATAACCCTCAGACAAATGGGGCTGCAGAGAGCCAATCAAGCCTTAGAGTCTTATTTGTGTTGCTTTATTGATGCCAATCAGACTAACTGGTCAGAACTCCTGCCCATGGCTGAATTTGCTAGAAACAATGCAACCCACGTGTCCTCTACTCTCAGTCCTTTTTTTGTAAATAATAGTCATCACCCCACTGAATTACCTTATGATTTTTCAGACACTTACTGTGGCAAAAGTAACCTTGCCACTGGTACTTGGAGGGGCCTGCTTGCCAGCCTCTTGCCCCAGGATTAGGGGCCGTGCAAAAAGACATGTTAAAAAGTGACTTCCATGGAAAAACCAAACCACTGAACCGATCTGGGTGATTTTTTGGATATGTTGGTCACCCAGATCAGGGCTTTCAGAGGATGTGACTCTTGTGGGGTTTCCATGGATCTTGGGGGTACTTTTGGGATGTTTGTAAATTGTGTGTTTTTCTGTGCCTGGAAATAATTGAGTTTGTACAGTTCCTGACTCAATTATCTCTCAGACACAGAGTATGTTGAATGTATTGCTTGTCTGTGCCTCTCCCCCCTCCTTTTTCCTGTCCTATTGTTTCCCCAGCAGGGCGTTGTCCCAGGGACACTGCCAGACCAGCTTAAACTAGCTACTTTGTCCCTCCTCAATCTCCCATCAGCCCTTGCTATTGTACTATAGTGCTCTATGTAACCTATTGTATGTAAATTAGGCTGTTGGGGGTTTTAAGTGTATGTAGAAATTGTAAGTGCTGGCTTGCATTAAACAGACTACTTCCCAGCATTAAGCCTTGTCTCATGTATGTGTGTGTGGGGGGGGGGATTGCTTTACTGCTCTTTGGATTATTATACTCTCTTGGAGGAGAGGTCTTTTCACTGGGAGCTGGTCCCCCCAAGGGAAGAGGCTAGACCCAGTGGCGTACATACCAGGGTCGCAGGGGTCGCGGCTGCGACCGGGCTCGGCCCACCAGGGGGCCCGGCCGCCCCTGCGACCCGGTATGTAGCCACTGGGCCAGCCTCTTCCCTTGGGGGGCCCAGGAGCCGACCACCCCAGGGCCCCCCGAGGCTGGCCCTGCTGACACCGGGCGGGTGGCCGGTCGGGCAGGCAGGTGGGCGCGCGAGGGAGCACTCAGTGCTTCCTCTTCAGCTCCCTCGCGCACCGCACTGATACCGGAGCCGGAAGATGACGTCATCTTCCGGCTCCGGCATCCCTACGCGGCGCGCGAGGGAGCTGAAGAGGAAGCACTGAGTGCTCCCTCGCGCGCCCGCCTGCCTGCCCGACCAGCCACCCGCCCGGGAGCCCAGCAGCACCACTGGACCCCAGGGAATCCCCCCAGCACTCCAAAAGGTAAGGAGGCTGGGGGGATTGCATTTTTAAAAAAAAGTGTTAGAGTGAGTGTGAGTGTTAGTGTGAGTGTTAGTGTTAGTGTTAGTGTTAGAGTGAGTGTTAGAGTGAGTGTTAGTGTTAGAGTGAGTGTTAGAGTGTTAGTGTTAGTGTGAGTGTTAGAGTGAGTGTGAGTGTGAGAGTGAGTGTGAGAGTGAGTGTGAGAGTGAGTGTGAGTGTGAGAGTGAGTGTGAGAGTGAGTGTGAGTGTGAGTGTGAGAGTGAGTGTGAGTGTGTGTCTTACTGAGTGTGTGTGTCTTAGTGAGTCTGTTTGATGTCTGTTAGTGAGTGTGTGTTTGTCAATGAGAGTGTATGTTTTGTAAGTGAGTGTGTGAGTGTGTATGTATGTCTGTCGCTGAGTGTGTCCCTGTCAGTAAATGTGTGTGTCTGTTAGCTAGTGTGTATGCGTCTGTAAGTGAGAGTGTGTGTGTCTTCAGCACTTACCTTTCTCCAGCGCCGGACTCCCTTGGCGCTGGGGATCCCTCAGCCTCTCAGCTCCGAATGAGACCACGCACACATTCAAAACGCCCATAGGAAAGCATTACTCAATGCTTTCCTATGGACGTTCAGTGTGCTCCTCTAGCAGCTGTCAGTGAGACAGCCACTAGAGGCTGGATTAACCCTCAGTGAAACATAGCAGTTTTTCTGAAACTGCTATGTTTTCAGCTGCAGGGTTAAAAGTAGAGGGACCTGACACCCAGACAACTTCATTGAGCTGATGTGATCTGGGTGTCTGTAGTGCTCCTTTAACCCCTTAAGGACCAAACTTCTGGAATAAAAGGGAATCATGACATGTCACACATGTCATGTGTCCTTAAGGGGTTAAAGGACCACTATAGTGCCAGGAAAACATACTTGTTTTCCTGGCACTATAGTGCCCTTAGGGTGCCCCCACCCTCAGGGACCCCCTCCCGCCCGGCTCTGGAAAGGGGAAAAGGGTAAAACTTACCTTTTTCCAGCGCTGGGCAGAGAGCTCTCCTCCTCCGATCCTCCTCTTCTCCTCCCCGTCGGCTGTATGCGCACGCGCGGCAAGAGCTGCGCGCGCATTCAGCCGGTCACATAGGAAAGCATTCATAATGCTTTCCTATGGACGCTGGCGTGCTCTCACTGTGAAAATCACAGTGAGAAGCACGCAAGCGCCTCTAGTGGCCGTCAATGAGACAGCCACTAGAGGATTAGGGGGAAGGCTTAACCCATTCATAATTATAGCAGTTTCTCTGAAACTGCTATAATTATGAAAAAATGGGTTAACCCTAGCTGGACCTGGCACCCAGACCACTTCATTAAGCTGAAGTGGTCTGGGTGCCTAGAGTGGTCCTTTAAGTGTGTGTGCATCTGCATGCACTGGCGTACATACCGCGGTCGCAGGGGTCGCAGCTCTGTAACCCCTGCGACCAGGTGCCCACCGCCATGTGTTGCGGCCCGGCCCGCGTGCCGGGGGGTGGGGGGGGCCCACGGATCAATTTTCGCACCGGGGCCCCATGGGTCATGTGTACGCCACTGGCTAGACCCCAGCCAAGCTGCAGCGGCTAAGGAGAGCTACGGTGTTTATGGTGTCTGGTGCGGTGCTTATAGTACTCAGTGATACTAGGAAGCAGCGATTGATGGAAGGACCCGGTCAGGGTGCCAGGCGGTCCGTCACACTGACATTCCTGCTTTAGACATCAGTTTGGCCTCTATCCATGACACTTGGGCTTCGGTACACGAAGCGTTACAGTCAGCCTCCAGACGTACTAAAGTTCAGGCAGACAAGCGGCGTGGTGCCAAATCTGTCAATCAAGTTGGGGTCAGGGTTTGGCTTTCCACGCGTCATATCAAATAATTGAAAGTACCTTTCATGAAACTAGCTCCTCGCTTTATAGATCCTTTCCGAGTCCTTCTGCACATTAATCCTGTGTCATACTCTCTCGCCCTTCCTTCACATTTGCGGATATCTAACACATTCTATGTGTCTTTATTGAAAGACACATAGAAAGGACGAAAAAGCGCCTTGTTGATGTACCGGGCGAGTCATAATTGACAGCCAGAGGCCTATGTCCATTTGGTCCCAGGACAAAGAGGGTTGCACTGCCAGCCGCTGACAAAATTGTTCATCGTATCTCTACCAACCCAGCCCCCCATAGGTACGACATGCGTTCCAGATAGTGTCCTGATAGTAGAACAACGCACCGCACTGCACCAAATAGTTCATACCTCCGCCTCTTTTGGTTGTTGGAGGCCAAGATGAATTCGGGGTCTAGATTCCAGGGTGTCTAGGGGTGTGTTGTTTTATTTGGTGGATTGGAAAAGTTATGGACCTGAGTAACGCTCTTGGATCGCTGCTGATAGAGAGAGACTTTTACTATATTGTACCCAGCGTTTTGTTTTTACCCCTAATTTATAGTGTGTCCAATAAAGTTTTATTTTATTCCTTGCATCCTGCAATATTTTAAGTTACTAATAAACCACGAAGAGGGAACACCCTTTTGTGTGAAGTACCACGTACAGATATTTTCTACGCTTTTAGTCTGAGCCAGCTTATTTTAAGTGGCTCATGACCATATGAGTGAAACCTTATTTGTTTTTTAATGTTCTAAGGCTTTTACGTTATTACCCTATGCATGTTTTTTCCTGTTTTTATATTTTATTCCACAACCATTCCACAACCAACAAGCCTGCTCCTTCCCGCCCAGTGGGAAGTCTTTAAATGGGGGTAGTGTCATGGCCCCTGGCTCATGGCTGCACGTGGCCGCACCCGATCGGTGCGACCACACTGACAGGTTTAAGAGCTTACCTGTTCAGCAGCAAGCCGGGAGAGACCCGCTGGGGCATCCGTCCCCTTCACATGCGGGATCCAAAATGGCGCCAACCACGAGGTCATGGCCATTTGTAGCTCCGCCTACAAAGGTCACGTGAACATGCTTGTGACGTCACGACATTAACGCACATGCATGTTCTTGGGTCAAAGTCCAAGCCCTGACCAATCACAGCCCAAGGAGTGATATTTAAGCCCCGGAATTTCCCTAGTTCATGGCCCTGTCGTGGTTTCCATTCCTGGTTCCTGAGAGTGCGTTTTCTTTGGCTATTCCTGACTATTCTGATCTCTAGTTGCCCTGACTTGGCTTTCTTATTGATCTTGTGTATTTCTGGCTTCCTTGCCCTCGGCTTTCCCTTGACCATTCTCTGTCTCTCAACGTATTAATCCGGCCATTCTAAGGACCGGTTTAACTTATGTCTATTTTTCTATTCTATGTAGATGTTACATAGTTTTGCGTGTTGGATCACATTAGTAGTCGTGACACAACCACACTTCAACCAGTAAGATATAGCTTTAAAAGAGCTGACTCTGGTATAATTGCTGTGATATGCTCTTTTATATGGCTGTAATATGCTGGATTGAATTACAAGCAGATCCTGAAGCATAGCCTCTTGAATGTGACCACAGAACGCCTGGATAGAAGTTACAAATTAGTTTAGAGGTATGAGTTAATCTCTCCTTGCACTGGAGTTGGTTATGGATCATTAGGCCTCATTTCACTTTGATTTTACCATGTTGTGATAAAAGATTTTGGGATAAAAACCCTGTATAACATAGTAATTTTCAAGATAAGTATATAATTGGATACTTCTCCTTTAACGCCTTAAGGACCAAACTTCTGGAATAAAAGGGAATCATGACATGTCACACATGTCATCTGTCCTTAAGGGGTTAAGGACCTTCATTTGCCAAATTTAAGTCAATAAATGCTGCCACGAAATAAAAAAAATGACATGGTCTTTGGAGTTACTTGACTCCAGAAATAGCCGTCTTTCATTCTCTTGACTGGATAGGAAATGTAACCTCGTTGGGGGTAAAAGAAGGGTTGGTTAACAGTTTCAAAGGAATATCTCTGCATGCCTTTGATGGGGGCCCAAACACGGTTCCCTTTTTGTAAGAATTGCCTTTAAATGCACGTTAGTATATACCTATTCCCCCCACAACAGTAGACATATTAAACTAGATATATTAAAGGTAACTATATATAACACAAAACTCTATAAGTAATACAATGTGAGCAGAAAATTACTTTGTGGCAGAGCAATTTAGATAAACTGTAGGACTGGGCACTCAAATGGCAGATTTAATCTTATGTAGATAAATGCAAAATTATGCACTTCGGGGTAAGGAATGCACAGACATCTTACACCTTAAATGATGCAATGTTAATCAGCAACTGCTAAGGTCAGTAAGGTATTGATGAAAATAAAATATTGCCACTTTATTCTGTACAATTTTGGGCATCTGTTATATTATTATTATTGTAATACAATAGAATTATATTATGGCACTAGAAAAAGTGTAGAGGACGGCTAAAAAATTGTCACTGCGCAGAGAGTTCATATTGGTGTGACCACACCTGATCAGTGTGCTCACGCCGATACTTCTAACAAAAGTAAATCCCTAATCGGCGTGGCCACACATGAGCAGGGCAGTCGCGCAGAAAACGGAAAATTAACTCACCTGGATCGCGGCGCAGTGCTGACCGATCCTCCCAGAAGACGGCTCCCAGCTGGTGCGGCGTTCAAAGGGATGCCAGCCACTGTGGCTCTGTTCTTACTGATAAAGGGCACACTGCCCACCAGGGCCAGATTAACATAGCGGCTGATGGAGCTGCAGCTCCAGGCCCAGGCCCATGGAATAGGCCCATTGATTTAAAAAAACAAACTTTTTTTACACACACTACTCTTAGGGTTTCCACCTGGCTGGTAAATTATTGGCACATCCAGTATTTGAGGCTGCCTGGCCGGTGTCGATATTGCAATCATACTGGCAATACAAATGCAGGTATTTTTTCTCAGTATAAACAGAGATTACGATGCAATACCAGCACTGGCCAGTAGGGGTCGCTGTGTGTAGAGAGAGGCAGGGATAGGAAGTCCCAGCATATCCCTACCTGCTTATCTCTACTCACTGAGCCACAGGGGAGCAGCGACAGAGAGTACAGACAGCAACTCCCACCCTGCAGAGACAGCCTACAGCTCAGAAAATTGAGGGATGGGGGATGGGGGGCTGCAAGGAGATATACACTGAGAAACTAAGGGACATTGGGAGACCATATGACACAGACACTTGGGGACACAGTGTCCCCATGTCTCCCTGCCAGTATCCCTGGTGTCTCAGTGCCCCCTAGTCTCCCAGTGCCCCCTAGTCTCCCAGTGTCTCAGTGTCCCCATGTCTCCTAGAGCCCCTATGTCTCCCAGTGCCCCCAAGTGTCTCAATGTCCCCATGTCTCCCAGCCAGTGTCCTTAGTGTATGTGTCCCCAGTGTCTCTGTGTCCCCAGTGTCTCTGTGTCCCCATGTGTCCCAGTTCCCCCATGTCTCAATGTCTCCCAGCCAGTGTTCCTAGTGTATGTGTCCCTATGTTTTCAAGTGTCCCCTATTTTCCCAGTGTCCCCATGTGTCCCAGCCAGTGCCCCCTAGTCTCCCAGTGTCCCCAGGTCTCCCCGTGTTCCTAGTGACATGTGGACCCTGGAAAACATGGGGACATAGACACATGGGAATACTGGGGGACACAAGGAAACATGGATCACTGAGACCTGGGGTAATCGACACATGGGGACACTGAGACATGAGGGCACTGGAAACATGGGGTGCCCTCTGGGACACTGGGAGCAATCCATCTATACAGCAGAATCAAACCAAGTAGTTTTTTGGTGATTTTACAGCATTTTATTTTATGTCACTCCTTGTGATTTATATCATGTGATGTCACCCATACATAATTAATTATGCAAATTAGTAAGGCCAGTATGTTTTTCCAAGAAAGGTGGCAACCCTAACTACTTTTCACATACTCTTGCTTAAGTATAGAAACTTAAGAGGGATTGGAACAAAACTTGTGTGGACTGGCTGACAATGAAATCGCTTAAAGGACCACTATAGTGCCAGGAAAACATACTCGTTTTCCTGGCACTATAGTGCCCTGAGGGTGCCTCCACCCTCAGGGACCCCCTCCCGCCCGGCTCTGGAAGGGGGAAAGGGGTAAAAACTTACCTTTTTCCAGCGCTGGGCGGAGAGCTCTCCTCCTTCTCTCCTCCTCCGATCCTCCTCCTGGGCTGAATGCGCACGCGCGGCAAGAGCTGCGCGCGCATTCAGCCTGTCGCATAGGAAAGCATTTACAATGCTTTCCTATGGACGCTTGCGTGCTCTCCCTGTGAAAATCACAGTGAGAAGCACGCAAGCGCCTCTAGTGGCTGTCAATGAGACAGCCACTAGAGGATCAGGGGGAAGGATTAACCCATTGATAAACATAGCAGTTTCTCTGAAACTGCTATGTTTATAAAAAAATGGGTTAACCCTAGCTGGACCTGGCACCCAGACCACTTCATTAAGCTGAAGTAGTCTGGGTGCCTAGAGTGGTCCTTTAAGGTAATGCTGACTTTGGTCTCTCTAACAATGTGGCATGTTCCCTTTCTTCTACACTCACTACATACAGCTTTTCTCTGTCCCAGATTATATACCAGGAGCTTCTGCCTGCTAGTAAGAAGGTAAGGAGACAAGTGGACCAGCGAGTGCTAGAGGACAGTCCTTAGAAAGCATTGAGCAAGCGCATCATTAGACACATTTATGCCAAGCTCAGGGTGCTGTCTGCATAGTATGCCCTTAGTTGGCCAGCTTGCATGATTGGCAGGCAGGCTGACATGCATTCATGCCAGGCTGACCTTCCAATTATTTGGGCAGACATGCCCCTTTTTGGGCATGTTTGCCCCTTTTGGCAGGTTACGTGATTTGTGTCAGTGGCACACCCTTTTATCATGCCCATTGACTTCCTGCTTGACTGGACACTGCTGTTAGGAGTTATGGATTTATTTTAAAGATGAAAACATAAATTAGAGAGATTAGATTAGCATAGGATATGTGTCTTCTTATAGCTGCTGTTTTCTTTCCCTCCAGCACCATCTCCATCAGATACATGATGCTTGGGAGTGTTTTAGTGTTATTAGTCGATAAGATTCTGTAATTAGGCCCGTCATAATTGTCAGCACCAGGCCCACTGGGCTCTTAATCTGGCCCTGCTGCCCACATTAAAGATGGTGCTGGCATGTGTGTGACATCACGATTTCAACGTACATGCACGTTTTGGAGTCAAAGGCCGTGTACTGACCAATCATGGCACTGAGAGACATATTTAAACCCTGTAATGCCTTTTCCCAGTTCCCTGTCGTGGTTTCCTCTTGTTGGTTGCCAGAGAGTGCGCTCTTGGTAACACTTTCTGTTTTTTTACTTTGGCTTATGTTTTGACTTTCCCTACTTCTGGTATCCTGACTTTTGGCTAGTATATTTGTATTGTCTCATTCTGTATCACCGACCTTGGCTTGTTATTTTGACCATTCTCTTTTACGTTAAGCCCGGCCATTCTAAGGCCCGGTGAACGTTGCTTGTGTTATCATAGTTTTGCTTGTTGGGTCATACAGTAGTCTTGACAAAAATTTATGAAAGGAATGGAATATTTAGTTATAAAGAAAGGAAAACAACTTTACATCTGTTTAGTTTAGAAAAAAACGTGCCTCAGAGGGAATATGATAGCATTATACAAATATGCCAATACTTTTTCTGAAAATCTATTAATAAACAGGACTACACATAGGACACAAGGTCATGCATTTAGACTGAAGAAAGGAAATTTTGTCTAAGCTAAATGAAACATTTACAGTAATTACAATAAAGATGTGGAATCCTCTGCCTGAAGAGGTAGTTATATCAGAATCTGTACAGCTATTTAAACCGCAACTGTTTACTAGCAATAACATAATATTGAGGGATATAATTTTTAATTTGTGGGGTAACAACTTTTTGATCCAATGAGAGATTTGACTGCCATACTAGGGTCAAGAAGGACATTTTTCCTAAGATGCTGTAAAATTGGCAAACACTTCAAACAAGGTGTTTTGCCTTCCTTTGGATCAACAGCAAAAAGAGATGTGAGACAGGTAATTACATAAAAACAAATCAAAGAAAAACAGCATTCACTGTGGGCAATGATTTCCAGTGATCAATCAACCCAGTGTCAAAAGTATAGGGGGAGATATTTTTATGAAACTGTTAACCAACTCACCCTATTTTACACTACATAGTGTTCAATTTATTATCCATTAATGCGAAGAGATTGAAAGACATCTGCTAATTTGTAGTAATACTTCTTGTGGGATTTTGTCACCACTGAAGTAATTCAATTTTGAGTACTAAATAATTTAAATGGCAAGTCCCAGGAATGAGATTCCCTTTAGAGTTCATTTGTTAGTGCCTTGATATCTGTCTTGGATTTAGTGCAAAATTCCCACAGTAGTTCCCGGATGTCTGTGGAAGCAGATAGTTCAGGTAAGGTCTGTGGGTAAATGTCTGGGAGGACACGTTGGCACAATCAGATTCGGTTCCACCAGCCATCATAGGTTTATGTTCTACAAAGGGCAGGATTAATTTCTGGGTATGGAAGCTGTCCACAGTTTACCTGTGGTGTACCTGCTTTCCCAAATAGACCCTGAACATTCTCCACTCAATTAGTGTCTGATTGGTATGGATTTAGATCATGGACTATTGCATTTTTTAATTGTGTCCATATCCAGGTGGGAGCTAGCTCAAAACATGTCTGCTATCATTGGCTGTATGCTCCCCCCCCATAAATGCAATGCATTTTTGTTACCTATTTGCTAAAAGTTTATTTGTTATTTCTCACGTTATTTGGTATGACTTTTGTATTAAATTAAATTAAAAAAACTACCAAAACAACAGTACATAAATATCTTTGAAAATACAAGCACAATTCCATTCAGACATAATATTTGCATAATAAATTCATAAGAATGTTAACACAATCAAATAAAATAAAACTTGAAAACTTGAATAAACAGTTTCACATTAAGTTGCTTCTTAAAATTAATTTACACATAGAATAGCTAGAATTAATATTACATTATTTAATATTACAAATTTCATGGGACATATGAACAGATTTGTTAGATATTACTGAACAGGCAATCTGACTGACTAACAATAAATAACGTGCACAATATAAAACAAATATAACAATGAATGCATTTTACCTTAGGACCAGTTACACAGGCAAAAACATTTGTGAAATAAATACGCCACTGAGCTTTAAATGTGCTCGTTGAAGATTCTTATTATTAAATCTATTATTTACACCTGCATTCTTTTTGGAGAATTCTGTTTGGTCCTGCTTATTAAGTATGATTTTTTACTGAGAGAAAGAGAGAGAGAGAGAGAAAGAGAGAGAGGGAGAGAGAGAGTTCTTCCCATTCCTTTGAAGAAAAGGCTAATTTTAGAATATGGTATTTCATTTGTACTTCTCCAGATTATCTTCTGATTTACTCATCTATTTGACATCTGGTCCTGGCTAAAAAGGAAAATATAAACTGAAATTAATTATTTATAGCCAATATGCACAAACATGATGTATGCTGTATTGTAGGTTCACTCAAATATTATAGTCAAAATACATATCAAAGAGAATTTGCTCCCACTTTTAAATGCGCAAAACGTAGCCAATACACACACAAGATGCATATGACAAAAATAAACAGAAAGAAAAATTATTACATAATATTACACAACCATGCATACCAGCAAGAATACCTCCAAACCCATTGTCTGCTATGCTGACTAAAAAATTAAAAGCATACAAAGCACGTTGAATTAACCCCTTAAGACCGCAGCCAAATGTACAAGTTGTGTTTAAAACAAAACGTAAACAAAACCTGGCATTTGCGCTATATGTCTGTCCAACCGTAATTCACCTCTTTCATATTAAATGCACCCACACTTATATATAATTTTATTCAGGTGAAACAGGGCTTTCATTTTACATCAAATATTTAGGTATGGAACATAATTTAATATGAATAAAATATATAAAATGTTAATGTCAAAATATTGTTTGCTTTTACTGCAATAAAATACACATATTTGTATTCAGCGATGTCTCACTTGTAAAACAGTACCCCATATGTACAGGTTTTATGGTGTTTTAGGAAGTTACAGGGTAAAATATAGCGTGTTACATTTTTCATTTTTTCGTATTGAAATTCGCCAGATTGATTACGTTGCCTTTGAGACCATATGGTAGCCCAGGAATAAGAATTACCTCCATGATGGCATACCATTTGCAAAAGTAGACAACCCAATGTATTGCAAATGGGGTATGTCCAGTCTTTTTTAGTAGCCACTTGGTCACAAACACTGGCCAAAGTTAGTGTTAATATTTGAAAATGCAAAAAACAAATTTGAACGCCAATTTTGGCCAGAGTTTGTGACTAAGTGGCTACTAAAAAAGACATTTGCAATACCTTCGGTTGTCTACTATTGCAAATGGTATGCCATCATGAGGTTAATTTTCATTCCTGGGCTACCATACGGTCTCAAAGGCAACATAACCAACCTGGCGAATTTTAATGCGAAAAAACTGAAACACAAGATTTATATTTGACTCTAACTTTTGAAAACACCATAAAACCTGTACATAAGGGGTACTTGTTATACTCTGGAGAATTTGCTGAACACAAATATTAGTGTTTCAAAACAGTAACACATATCACAACAATGATATCGTCAGTGTAAGTGCCATTTGTGTGTGAAAAATGCAAAAGATTTCACTGTCATTGACGATATCGTCGTTGTAATACATTTTACTGTTTTGAAACACTAATATTTGTGTTCAGCGAAGTCTTCCGAGTAAAACAGTACCCCCCATGTACAGATTTTATGGTGTCTTGGAAAGTTACAGGGTTAAATATGCCTAGGTCCTCGCAAAGACCTTGCGATCACATGGCCCAGAGGGGCTGAAGAGGACGGAGGGGGACTTCCTGGGCTCCCAGGTAAGTCCCCATACTGTGATCGCCGGGTAAGTACATAAGATCGCAGTGCGTTCTATGCCTCCCTGCAGGATTTAGAGCCATCAAAATAGGGATGGCATAGAACGCCCTGCGGTCTTAAGGGGTTAAAAGAACTCCATTAGAACCATAACAACATTGAAATTAAGTTGTTATAGTGTTCAGAGGTCCTTGTGCTCTCTTACTTAAAGGGGTTAAACCATTTTTAAACCATTAAACCCAAAGGTTGCTTCAAACACCAGACCTTCCTTTCCACATTGTAATCTTCAATTAAATTTCAGGAAGTGGAGTGTTGCCAGATGGGGTGGCACTGATTGGCTAGAGTGGTCAGCTGATACTCTACCTTTATAAAAAGGTATAATTTCACACTACAAGGTTTGTACAAATCCTGTCTAATGTCCCAACAAATAAAAGGAAAAACAAAAAGTGCATTAAAATGAACGTAAATAAATACAAATGAAAAATGTTTAAATATAGGCACATAGATACGGCTGAAACAATGCATTCTCAAATGCAATAAAGCTTAGAGTCACCTGGTAAAAGCCTGGATGTGGTCTCAGGAACACAAACATGTGGTTAACCCACTATTTAGATGGCTTCCCCTCATTAACCCCCCTAGAAAAGTATAAAAATCACCTTATTTCTAGCGCAGCATGGCTTAAAAAAGGACAATTTTTAGCCAATCCAATGCTTTCCCATCAACATAAGGGCGGGGCCAAATGCTGTTTTGGCCAATCAGGACCTCCTCATAGAGATGCATTGAATCAATGTATCTCTATGAGGAAAATTCAGCATCTCCATGCAGAGCGTGGGGACGCTGAACGGCAGGGCTGCTTACTGTGCAGCCTTGAGTCAGGAAGCCGCTCCAATGGCCATCTAAGGAGTGGCCACTTGGAGGTGTCCCTAGGGGCAATGTAAACGAAAAGGCAGTGTTTACATGAAAATGCCTGAAGGGAGCTATTATAATCACCAGAACAACTACATTAAGCTGTAGTTGTTCTGGTGACTATAATGTCCCTTTAACCCCTTAAGGACCAAACTTCTGGAATAAAAGGAATCATGACATGTCACACATGTCATGTGTCCTTAAGGGGTTAAGGTAGTGTGTATTAGATACATTAAAAATATGCAAATAAAAGGAAACTATTAAAAAATGCCCACCATTGATGTTTACCCACTCTTGCTGCAAACCCCCATTATGTTCAGCTGTTGCAATAAACTCATACACAGCATTTAAGATTCACATATTGCAACATACTGCCCAATAACCTTCTCTGCTTTGGCTATTTTCT